AGTACATCAAATTAAAATACAGTTACCTAGTATCTATTACTTGTCTTTTATACCTTTTTTTGCAGTCTACTAGGACATCATACAGCAATCTCAGAAGAGTATGCTTTTTCTCTGTGCCGAGATTCCAGTCAGAAATCCACTTTCGGACCTAGGTAGAATACAAGTGAAAAAGAAGCATTGGGAAAAAGACTAAAAACTGAAAATATTTCTCATTTTCTCTCAAGCAGAAAAGGATTGAAAAGATCTTGCGCAGAGATTTCTCCTTCGGGTCCTCTGACTCTCAGGCTCCCCATGCAGAACCTAGAAGTTTTCCCGTGAGGAGCCAAAACTCCACATTACTTCCTAAATAAGGATGAGTGATTCTAATACACTCCGATTCCAGAGCAAGGGAGAAGAACTTGATGCCTCACTCCCGATCAAAGCTTCTCACTTTCATCACTATCACAGGAATCAGACAGACACATCAAACTACGTTCAGCATCAGAAACGGTAAATAAACAGCAGCTTGATTTAAATTCTGTAGACAGACCTTTAAAAGATAAGAAATTCAGTATTCCGCGTTTCTTATTTCACTAGGCTCTGGCAATTTGTAACAGGGAGAGACGGTCTGTATCAACTCTAACTAATATTTAGTGAGATGCAACATGGTTAATACAAAGGCCGTAACTTGAAGCACCACATTAATTACCTGATCTAGTTCAGTTGGGATGTACTGGATGGCACCACATGATGAGGCCACTTTAAGAAGGCTGCAGTACACTGTGTATCTCACAGGAGTGTTCTTATCCATACCATGGAAGAGATTGCTCAGTCTAAACCAAAAACAACGAACAACTGAGTTAAAGAGGTTTTCGAAAACATTACTGGAGTGCACATAAATGTTTCTATTAAGATGCGTGCTAGTACACAAAACACCTGGTGGCACCTTACATCCGTGATGAATTGTAACGGCTTCCAGTTTTGTAAGTTTTCAGCAAAGAAGCTGAAAATTCTATGCATTTTAATTTTAATTTTGTAATACCCAAGCAAAGAAAGTATATTGGTACTTCTATTTTATGTTTGGGAAAAAGAAGGGGGGGGGGGGGGGGGGGGATGGCAAACTGAGATCAGAGACGGGGGGGGGGGGGGGGGGGGGGGTGGAGGGAGAAAAGAGTGCTTTCTGCAACCGAGAGACATAACTTGACAGACACCCCACACTTCGATTTAAAGACATACAATTGCAAGATACCATTGTCTCACTTTTCTCTGTACAATACTTACAGCTGCAATCTAAGAGATGGGCGCTCTCCTTCCCGAAATTTTACTAACTTCTCACACAGGCTTTCAATCAGCGCTTCTTGTTTGTCAGGTTCCAGAATAAGAAGCAAAGAGACTACACTGTTCATTACGCTCTCAACATCTGCACAAAACAAAACATGCAGCTATTTAAAATTGCAAGCAGCAATCATCAGTAGCTATTTAGTGCTGGAGAGTTACTTCTGCTGCGAATGATTATTTTGCATGATCAAGACCTGTAAAAGAAAGAAAGTGCCAAGATAACCAATCTGGATATTCATCAGAACGTACCAGAGATTTGGCTCATGTGGTCTTTCGCCAACACATCTCCACGTAAAGCAAGAATTACCACTCTAAGGTCAAAACAGAATTTGGTATTTTGTATCACGCTCGCTCTGAATTCTCTGTTAACACATAAGAGAAGTCAGAGGAACTTCAGGTTTTGGTCTTAAAAAAACAGTGGCTGCCTCCTGCACACCCAGAAAACTGCCCCACGGTTCTACACTGAGAATACTAACACCTAGTGCTCAAGTACAGTTAAACTTTTCACCAGGAGCACATGGCAAACCCAGAGCACAGGGAAAATGCCTGCGAGAACAAAGTATATTCAAAAGCCTCTTCAGCTCCTGTTTTAAGCATGGTGTTACATCCTTTCCAAACAGGACCAGACAGGTTTTGTGTTTTCTTTTCACAGTCTGCCCAAATATCAGCTATGCATAGGATAAGAACAAAATTCATTACGTATGGAAAATATTATTTATGCCCCGAAATTACAGCTGAACATCAAACAGCAGAGCAATAAGCTTCTCCAGTATTTCATACTCATTTGCCTACAGCAGAAGGCAACGTGAAAAATAATCTTAAGGACTCCTTCTTAGATGAACCATGCATTCTTTCAAACACATTCATATTAGCAACTGGTTTGTTACATGTAAGTTCTAAATGGAATTTGTGTATTGTTACAGAGCACAGGAGGCACAGAAAGATCATTTAAGGCTACTGCAGCATTACCAGTGTCATTAAAATATATTAGTGCATTTTCTAAGGATCTACAGTCCTAACTCAAAAAGAGTTACTGACTACTGAAAATCCTAGTGTTTTCAGACAATATCAATCAATTACTGTTTCGGCCTTAAAACTTCTACTTATAGACGTCTAGTCTTAATTCTTGTTCATCTGCAGCATCACAGCCATTAATTGACAGTAAGTCTTATTTTTATCATACTTTTTTTCAGAGAGACAACCTATTTTATATACAACTTGCTATGCCCTCATAATAAGCACAGTCCAGCTCGATTTCTGACTTCTTTAAAGGGCGCTGGATGTTTGGAGAAGGGAGGGGGTAGAGTACATGCAAATTTTACACAGCAACGATGGAAATAAGGACTTTCAGTTTGATAAGGATGCATGTGTTAACACGCAAGCCATGCAACATACCTCTGAATTCTGCCAACCGTTACTGTTTGAAAGCACCGATGGCAGTATGTTTAGCGAAAACGACAAGAATTAAAGGTGCAAACCTTTGTCATCCTCTTTCAGGCACACATCACAAACTTCAATGATCTGTGCCAAGTCCACATGAAGTCCACCTTCGGCATTTTCTTCAGAGATTTCCGCTCCTTTGGATTTCAGGTAAGCTCGAAGTTCTGCAGCCTTAAAAAAAACCCAACACACACAAAACGAAACAGTCGTTTTGTGAACAGTAAAGTCAAAGTAATTAAATTTCCTACAGATTTTTGTTCTGCAACCACTCCTCTGCCCCACCGCTCACTCACACTAGCTCTCACTTCTCCCTACCACCCCGTATCCTACAACGCTCCCTCTCCCCCACTTTAAGGCATAACCCAAACACCAACTCAGTGCACGTGCTGTGGCTGGTTTGCCAGTAACTGAATAGATCACACAACGGAATGAGCTTTCTCACAGTAGGAACGGGTCACTTACAACCACTGGTTGGAGGACAGCAGGCCTAGTAAGTTTTTGTGACAAAGACGCTTTCCTCTTATGAATTGTTATTATCTTTTACTCCCTTTGAAAACTTCAGGCAAAACAATAAAACCATTTAGTTGTGCTTTCGCCAGAAAAGAAAAAGGGTATAAACAAAACCACTTTAGAGAAGGCAGAACTAACAGTCCAAGTTAACGACCGTTCCCAATACAATCCTATGACCTGCCTCACCTTGTCAGGATTTAAGCCTACACCAAGAAAATACCTTTCCCCCAGTGACTGGCCTACGCATTAACTTTACAATCTACGTTTTCAGCAGCAGAACCATAACCCTTTGGAGACAATCCGTATGAGGGCATACAACTTTTGGCACAGGGGAACTCTGACCAGGATGCTACTGTAACACCAGGTGTAATTTACATCGAGTTCGGTGTCAAATCGTTACGGTACCATAAGATGCAGCTGAATGCTCTAGAACCCCTTACTGTACTGAAGACGTTTCAGACTGACTGCTTGGTGGGGACTTACTAGACATCACGGCAAGTGGAAACTGGGCTGAAGGCTAGTAGTTGTGTATGCATTTCTTGTAGATTTCCAATTGCATACAGATATATATACACACACCACTTAAAAGACACTAGGAACAACAAACCCTAAAATTCAAAGACAAAACAAAGCAGCAGCTCAAAGACAAAATTCACAGTTCCCATGCCTGTAGTATCGAGACTCCCGCAAAACCAAGACGGACAAGTAATGCTCCAGCCCACACCCGCACTAGTTTTCCTCCCCTAAAAAAAAGTACTGCTGAGGAGAGATGAAAACGAAGTACTGGGGAGGTGAAGAACTTTGGAGAGGAGACCGCACACGTAGACTTACCCTCCAGTTTACACTTTCGCCAATTCTCCCGTTAAATCCCCCCAGGAAGGGCCACACACAAGTTTACGGAGGGACACCCGGCGCCGCAGCGAGCGCGGCAGCCTTCGGCAGGGCAGGCACGCGCGGCCCC